AATTTTCCATGGCTTGAAGCGTTTATTTTGCTGAAAATCTCCATTTTTTGGGGAAATTTGACGATCCCCTTAAAGATGAAAATTCGTGTTTGATGCAAATTTAATGGGCATATTTTGGACGCGTTTTTCTTTAGAAAAACTTAAGTTTTTGCAATAATTAAAAAAGGAACATTTTGAACAATTCTGTTCTCTGCAAAACGATTTTTCAGTTTCCCAAATCGCTGAAATACAAAGCGAGTCGTGAGAAGTGCGCGAAAGGCCCTAAGAACTTTAACAGCCGATTTAACGGACAAAAACTTACGTGCGCAAAAGATGCTAAAATTCATTTTTTTCATGTGGAAAATTCAGATTTTTTTGCAAAAAAAAGGGAAATTTAATGAAAAAGTTCTGTTGTTCTCGGTAAAGCTTTTTGTGTTCAACTTTGCCAATAGTTGAAATATCAACCGATGCGCTTAGCGGCATTGTTTTTTTTTTATAGAAAACCTGTGTTTTTCAAGCAATTTTAACAATTGAAAAAGGCACATTTTGAAGAATGTTCTTCGCTACAAACCGATTTTTGAATTTTCCAAATACCTGAAATATCAAACAAGTTATGCGAGATGCGCAACGCTCTGAAGCATCACCTCTGGATGGTAGATTTTTCGTAATTCGCCATCGACATTTAAAAGAAAGGTCGAAATACTAAATTTGGCAAAAACTTATAACGCGAAGAGATGAATTATTCAATTAGTGGGTTGATTGAAGTTAACAGTGGGTTTTGTCAATGCGAACTAAATCAGGACTTCTAGCCGGCCTACATTGGCAATCCAATTTATTCGCTTTATTTTCACCTTTTCGCTGTAAAATTGGCGACAGCATACAGTGAATCATCTGAATTATTCACTTAAAACCTTTTGTCTCGGAAAACTCGACTCGAACGCAAAACGTTTAAAATAAACCGGAAAATTCCCGTCCATTCATTTTTAATGACTCGCGAACATTCCCATTGGCAGCGGAATTTGGCAAATTCTTTACGGATTTGCGTTTGTTTT